TAGACAATAGACTAATTAGATCTAAAATGACGGCCGAGAAAAGGGAGCAAATAAAAAATCGCGATTGTCGACATTCGCAGATAAAAGGATTACATTACTCTTAATATCTACAGCTCTAAATTCAATATACTGCCTTGTCTTTTTAATGGAGCACAGTTAAGATCAGGCAATGCGCAGTCTATACTTATTACCTCTCTCTCTCTCTCTCTCTCTCTCTCTCTCTCTCTCTCTCCCTCCCCCCCCTCTCTCTCTCTATGGGTATCCATCTCTTTGAAACTCGAACGATCCGATTTTAAATAACGATTTTAAAACGTAATTTGGACAATATATATTGATTATAATTGACGACAGGGTATCGGTTTTGAAAAAAAGAAACTTCTTGGTGAGATAATCGAATTGAGGTCATTATGGAATTACTGCAGAATGCCGTAGGACATTTTTCCAAAACATCGGTTTGCGCTAAACGGTTCGGATTTGAGCAACTCTTTCAATTAAGTGCGAATATCAATTCGCAACACGTGTAACGATGCAAATTTTCTTTTGTTGATGCATTGAATTTTATGCGATTTATGTTATCGCAGAAACTGGAAATTTTCATCTCGTGAGTATAAATGTTATGATATTTCAAAAGCCATCCATTTTACATCCTGAACGAGCAAAAGAAACTTAATATTATTAGTAGAATGAATAATCGCTCTCCGTAAAAGAACTTGACATAAAAAACGTATAAAAAGAGGATGGAAACATATTTTTCTCACGCTTGATACCAAAATTCGTAGTTATTTATATGGGCATATTTGATGAAAGAATCATTATATGCATTGGATGGTTTTATAACATTCATGAAAAGTTAATGAGAATTCTTGCGACGTAATAAACTCTTAAACGACATTGTGTGCGGCGAATATTAGCAGATAGTCGAACCTTATTTTGCTGGTAACAGTATTGTAATAAAAAACTTTTATTTCAGCTTATCCTGTTCTTATGAGGAGTATCATATAGTTGACTAAAGTTACGTTTTAGTAATCCTCTTAAGCTCGGACTCTTGTGGGAAAGAAAAGCTCTCCCACCTCCTTCCTTCTAATTTTATGTCTGATCAATAACGACATGTGTCACTTTACGTTTGCTCCTGTTAAATGTATTAAAACTAGAGGAAGTTTAGCTGACGAAGGGAAATAAATAACGTACAGAAAATAAATAAAAATGACAAAAAAAATAAACGTTTGCTTGTATACTCGACATAATTATATTAAAATAAAATTAAGAGGCCTTTTCTGTAACTCTTAACTGTAGCATATAGTCGTTAAGAGTTATAGAATGAGCACCTAAATAATATTTATATTCGCGCATCATTTCTTCAAGATATTTCTGTTGAAGAACAAATGCTAGCGTTTTTGTTTCAAATATCATAATACATTTACAACGTATTATATTTCACGCGCAAGACCAGGTGAAATGAAACATAAACAACTAATAAATAATAACAGTACGAGTTGAAGTATTTTTCTTTTGATACAACACAAGTTTGATAAATTCACGAAAAAGCACGTATTCCATTTTCGGAATATTTTCGTTTTTATATTTGAGATTTATCCATTGTTAAATAATATTTTGCATGTAAAAAAAAATACAATTCATAAATCTCAAAAACAAATCTTTCTATAGAGAATCGATTTTCCCACGGGTATTTTGGCACTATTCGTAAAAAGCTGGTCGATCACTTGGTAGATTTCAGATAACATGGAATCATAGCGCTTTCGGGTTGGTACGATTTAATCTTGATTTAACCTACTCTTTGTCTTTTTCCTGGAATCCGCATTAGAAGAAAGTGAAGAATCAGTTAAACTTAAATTAAGATTGACGTTGCAAAATTACCTATAAAATAATAGGTACTTGAAAAGACATATCTAAATCAAAACTTACGATTCGATTCCAATTTTTGTTATTTAAATAAAAAAAAAATATTTTTTAAGTCATTTGTTATGTTTTCATTCTTATACGAATAGATATATCCCCTTATTAAAATGATGTCGCAAAGATACCTAGAAGAAATCGGAAACTTCTACGTTTTTGAATAAATAGACTTTAAATAGACTCATTTTTCTATTATCGAAAATCCAATCAATATTAATTAATCGATATTAATTAAAAAGATAAAAAGAGAGAACCCTTCGATCGTCGTGGGAGAGTCGCGCAGCTCTTTCGCTTCGCGTTGCGGCACGGTTTTTACGAAGAGATCCCGAAGGATTAACTCAGGACCGTGTTCTTAATATCCGGAGACGTTTAATGGCGAGACCCGCTCGAGGGGGAAAAAGATCTCAGGCCGACGAGGGCGGCGGCGCAAAACGCCACGCACTCGCATTTCGCGTTTCTCAAGAATTCGCGGAGAAACGTAGCAGCGACGTGTTGACGCCGCGCGAATCAACGCAAGAACGACGATTGTCCCCGTCGTCATCTTCTCAAGAATTGTCGGCTGACATTCTCCCGTTCCAAATGTGGGAAGCCAGGCCGACTCGGGGGGCTGTCAACATCTCGCAGGATCGAGGGCGATCGCGTGCGTACCGGATCCTCGGGACGACTAGGACGACTAGGACTTGGCCTTGTCACTCTGTGCCTTGTCGAAGCCGTCGATTAGTGTTTCGATGATGAACTTGATCGTTAGCTTGTAGATGTTCTCCACATTTTCCGAGTATCGATCCTCCAGCGTGCGTTCCACCGCATCCAGAAACGGTTTTTCGATTTTCTGGAAATAGAACGTCCGATCACGTATGAACTACATTTTTGCTAATTTACATTTAAAATAACTATTAATTATTTAATAAAAAAAACAATGTCTTTTTTTTGGAAGATTTGAATCTGTATTAAAATTAAAATTTGCGTGATTCAATTAAAATATATGGTATATTATTCTTGATATATTTTATTATTCTTAAGTATATCATTCTAAGACGGAAGATAATTCTAGAACAGAAACAACTTCCATGACTACAATATCTGAGATTAATGTAATGACAAATACGGAAACAATTAATTTTCAGAAGCCGGCACTCTTTATCTCTCTTCCTGGATTTAGGACAGCTGATTGCCTAAAAGCTGCCAAGTGTACGATAAAAAAAAAAAAGAAAAAAATATTATTCCATACTGAGAGATAAGACATCTTGATATTAAAAAATAAACTATTAAAATTTATCAAACAAATAATTTTCTTGTGTTAAGTAAATTATTTATTCAGTAGTTTCTTTCTAATATTGTAGTTTATTTTTTAGTATCAAGATATTTTTTTCTCTCAGTGTACAAAGTTTTCAGCAAATCAGTAATTATTTTTAGTATTGAAGTGAAAATGCCATTCGAAATATTTTTCTAAAAGAGACTAGTTTTGTGAATTCTATAATATCTATAATATTTTTGTAACTCTTCTTTTTCCGATTAAATGATTTGATACGTCGTTTGTAAGCGAAAATAAATCTCTAGAAAAAAGTTTAGTTTGTTTGCTTCATATTTATTTTAAGCATTGATGGAGTCGAAGCTATGGACGTTCTTGGATTGCGGAAGAAGATAATATCAATATAGCGAATATTTAAGCCTCGATCCATTTCGAACAGCGTGGTCGCTAACAATACGAGGACTGGCGATTGAATCGACGATTGTGCGATCGTCGTATCCACGGTTCACAATAGACCTTGTAGGATTGTCCAACAGGAATTATCAATCCTATATACAATAACTAAGTCACGGAATTCACATTAGACGAGAAAGGAAGGCGAACCGGATTTGATTTCGTGCCAAGAGATTGAAACCGTGGCGAGCGTTTCACACTGCGAATAAATGCGACGTTCTCTGTAATGTAAACCTTCAACCCTTCTCATCGCATTGCGCACATAACTTGACTTTATTCCTATTTGAATGACATAAAAACAAATTCAGAATTATGTCAAATAAGCTGAAAAGCTCCATTTTAGAAAGAACTAAATGACAAGTTGTCTTTGATCGAAATTAATTTCTGAAAATGTCTCACTGAAATATATTACATTACAAGTCATTACGATTAACGGTGTACTTATGGAATTATATCTTGACAATATAATATTATTTTTTCATCTTAAAATTAATTTTACTTCAATAAAATGTCTTCTATTTATCCATTTTTAACCACATTTTTAAGCATTTTTGTGCTCGCCTTTTTTTATATAATACCTTTATTCCTTTTTTTAAGCAAGAAGATAAAGCGATGCGGGAAGAGCCTCTAGCACGGCTTCCTTCTCACGTGCACAAAGAAAATTCCGTTTCGATCATCACAAAAGTAATAAAAAAATTTGCATACATATGCGAAAAAGTAGGGAAACGTTATTACTTTTGCGTATTGCATCAAGGCCCTTTTAATAATTTTTTCTTTTCGACATTACGTGGATTATTATTTTTCATCATCATATTTTTGTATTTTACCATATCTGTCAAGATGTGTATATACATTACAACTTAGATATGTATATATTATTATTTAGAATGAAAAAATTGAAATTTATTGTTACGTTTGTTGCATTATTTTTTTGTTAAGCTTCAAATTAAATTAAAAATTCTTTTGATTGAGAAAAATTAAATTGGTAAATGTAATATACGAATTTACTGATACATGAGTTTATTGATACAAAAAGGAAAGACACACACATTTATTAGACGAATCAAATTGACGCATGCTTTCGTTCAAATAAACATCAAGATTATCAAGAAAATCACGTACATTCAATGTAATAAAATGCCAGTTGATTTTATATACGATTATATTTGCAATCTCGTATTGGGAAAATGCATTCTCCCATTAAAATGTATTTAATTTAATGAATTCGACATTTGTATGTTTGTGCATGGACAGCTATCAAATTTATTCAACCAAGCAGAATGATTAAGTGCATAATGTTCAATTACATATATATAGTTAATCAAACATTGGAATTTCCCACGAATTTTCCTCACTTCAATCATAGCAAGAATGTGATTTCATGCTGTTTAATTATTCGTTCCATAGCGTACTTATTTATTTCAACCAATTCAGATGTCAGAAGTGTTATAGCATCAATTTTCATGTTCTACGTTCGAAATGTTTTCGACTAACAGGATCGTAAATAAAATTATGGAATATTTACAAGTCCTATGACAGTCGTTATAGCAACAAACTGTCCTTTCGAGACGTCTCTCTGCAGTTTGCACGAATCAAATCAAAGTCATGCATTATTCTGAATTTGTCTCTTTCGAAATAGCATTCGTGTATTTTACAAAGCAATGAAAAAAATATGTATTTCGTATCAGTGTGTTCATATTAAAAGAATTTGCAATAAAAAATATTCGTGCAGAAAATTTTTCTGCAATATCAAAGTGAAATTTTAGCATATTTATCTTTTACGATAATCATTTTACCACCATTTTCAACGCTAAATGTAAGAACATCTAAAAAAGAATGTTTTATTTTTAGATATCGTGTAGAATAGCAACGTAGCAAGCAAATGACGGACACCAGCTGTATAGTGGATTATAAAAAACCATGAGATAACAAAATACCGCCGTGTTATACGCCTTATAGTGATGTTGCGGGTAAAGTCTCAACATTTGTTATTCAATTTTTCTCGCAGCAAATTTTTCTTCTTTGCAAAGAGGCGGTATAAATTTCGAGAAAGAAGTGTAATGCAAATAATAAAATGTTGGATAAAACATGAAGATAATAAAATTGAACTTTTAATTGATAGTATGAGCTCATAATAAACGTTCACTCTGAATTCTAATGTATATATATTGAGTCAGTAAAATTATAATATTTTTAAAATAATAAATTTGATATTATTTATTTTCCAATTTAACGAATAATATCTAACATGAATTTAAAAAAAATGTAAGAAATTGTAAAACGTTTTCATTCAATTGAGGAAATGTGCTATAGAAATTAAACGTTCATACATTGTGAGGAACGTAACGAAAGTTTATTCCACATTTATGTCGCGTGAGCATCGTTATACTTTAATTGTGCATAAATCTCTTGCTTGGAGACAGGTCCTAAAATAGTTTACAGTGTCTCCCAAAAGTTTCCAGTTTAGTCTCTTTGATTTCCATGTTGCCCGAGATAAGCGCAGCACAAAGAGAAAATGTTCGCCAAGAGATGGGAGACGTATTTCTCTCTCTCCGACAATTTTCGCACGCTTTCCCGGTATATTCTGAGGTAAACTATCTATGTGTTTTGATATATGTAAGACAAGCTTACTCACGCAAAAATTGTATTTTTTTTTTTTAAGTGATACAAATGTATTCCAATGTATTCTAAGTTCTTAATAAAAAAACTAATTACATTATATTATTATCAAAAAATAACTGTCAAGTAAACTACCAATATATTTTGACACATAAGGCAAGTTTAACTGATTTGTTCACATAAAAATATAAACACGGAAAGATTTCGCTGAAGTATCTAAAAATTTGACTAGATCTAAAAATAATTTTGTTGAATTATCGAAATAATTATATATAATTTCAACGAGCAATATTGACATTCTAGTAATAATAAAGTTGAGCTATATAATTATTCTAATAATAACAAAATTATTAAAATTATTTTTAGATCTTCTTTGTTGAATTTTTAGATACTTTGACCAAAGCGTTCTATTCATATAATAAGTTGGATATAAAAAGTAGTAAATATTCTAAAATATTTCGAGTTTCTAATCTAATAAGACTAATTATATTATTATTAAAAAATGTCTTCATTAAAAATATATATATAAAATTAGTCAACTTCCAATTTCGCGTTTAATCTTATAAATATTTTTAATGTACGTACATCTTATTGTGTACATGTAACAAGACAGACAAAAATAAATTATTATTTTTAATGTCTAAGATAATAATTTATTTCTTAGTTCATCAAATGCACATATTTTCTTATTAAAGTTAATTTTCAATTTAGATATATTGTCTTTTTTCCCTAGTCATATAACAAATATCTTATTTTTTCGCCTAATTAATAGTTTGATAATTGGGACACACGTACATTGCGTATTTATGTGTCATATGCCGCGTATGAATATTGCAAGGTGAGTACGAGCGATTTCTTTTCGAGAGAGAACTCACCCAGAAGTATTGCCGGTTAAATCCGGGGATCTTCGTGTGAGAGGCCCCGACCTCGTGAAGGTATGTCAGGAACGCATCCATGTCGTCGAGGCTCTTGATACCTTCGTCGAGGGTGGTCATGACCGTTTTCGCGTGCTCGGCCAATTCCATACTCGTGGACTGTTGCTCCTTTGTCTTTTGATCCCGAAACTTCGTGAACATATTTAGCAATTCCGCGTTCTCTTCAAATAACCTGGAACCACACGGTGTGTGGCATCATTAGAGTTGTAAAGATACTGAATACACTGAAAAAAATTTCTAGTTGAAAATGAACGAATTAGAATTTTTTCTGATAAAATTTATTAGAATTCTAGTTGAGATAACTGGAATTTTGGTTGATACAATATTTCTGGTAAAATCTACTAGAATTCTTATTTTTACCAGAATAATTATATCAATCAGAATTCTAGTTATCTCAACCAGAATTCTAGTAGATTTCTTTACCAGAAAATTCTGATTCGTCCAATTTCCATCAGAATTACTATTTAATCCAACCAGATTATTTTTCTCAATGTAGGTGTGTACTATCGTAATATTATATATGAGAAGTTATATAATACATCAATGATTGTTTATATCAAAATTAAATCAAATATGGTTTGTTTTTTATATGTGAGATATAAATAAATTTTATCTCGTATAAAGGATAAGTGAGAAGAATCTTAAATATATTTGTTCATCACTATGTTAGATAGTTAATGAAAAAATTTAATTATTATGTATAAAATCATAAATAATACTTTTGAGGTTTCCGTGAGTATTTGCTTCAAGAAAGTTATGCAGTTTACGGGTTTATCTCCGTATCTTGCATCGTTAAATGCTAATGTTTCGTGAACATTGCAGTTCACTTTATCAAGATAAGAAGCAACTTCATATAGTCATAAATGCAAGTTGGAGCAAAAATTTAAAGAAAGCGTGTTTAAAAATAGATTTAATAAATATTGTAATTTATGGATTAAAGTAACTCTTACAGTTTGAAATATGCATTAAAGACAGCTAATCTTTTGGAAAAACAAGTTGAAGAAGCAAGACATTTTCGATTAAAAATTCAAAAGATATAAGAAGTTGGAGCAAAGAAGTGAATCTAAGTGATTAAAAAAACGTTGAGCATTTTTGATAAGCATAACTTTGTCTGTTCTACAAGAATCTTCCACAAGAATAAATTTCAAACTCAGTTCTTTGATAGTCCGAGATAAGTTTTTCTTTTCGTTCCAATTTTTTCCAAATGTATTTGGCGAGTCCCAAAATATTTCACACACACAATTTCCATATAAAAATTTATTTCCCAATTCCTTCGAAATGTCTAATATTCCGCGATATCTTCTCACGATATTTTTCTCTGCAGATTCAAAGAATCGTAGGGACAAAACCGAGTGATGCCTTGAATTCTAAGCTCTACGTTATCTAACGTTGGCATACATCTACCACAAGAGAAATCGATTGTTACGGAAAGACACGCTATTTGTTTCAATTCTAACTTGTTCGTATTTTGTTTGATTTCTTTCGGACATTTATTTTCCTCTCTTTCATGTAACATACGATACTAATACATAATAAATACAAAGATAATCATCAATTTTATATTTAGCACTGAAAAAGCTCAAGATAATTCTGGCGTTTGTCAGAATGTAGTTTCACTTGTAAGTAAACAAGAATTTATTGAACAAAATTCGTTGCAATCTTTTCGCGTGCACAGTTTTCTTTTTCTCTTCCTCATACCAAAATTTGGTTAACTGTTTCTCTTCGAGTTTTATACTCGTTGAAATAACGAGTTCACGTAAGCCTCGTTATAGCAGCTCGACAAAAATGTTTTTGTTTCGCGGCTGGTTGCTCTCAGCCGTTCATGAAATACCTCTTTGTACAACGAGGCATTCCAATCTCGCGCTTGTCTATCCAGAGGAAAAATGTACGCGCAAGAGAGAAAATATAAACATAGTTATTTTATCTTTGATGATTTCAAGTTAATAAGTGCGCGCTGCAATTTAATATCTGCATCGGACCATGCATTGGAGATTAGAATTCGACCAGGTAAATTTAATTTTAATCTGTTTCGTTTCAATTGGAGTTAAATTTTAATTTTCACTTTGCAGTTTTTGATCTTCAATGAATAATCTGTTACGGACTCAACACACGTAAAATGCTATGTACTTCTTTTTCAGTCTGCAAAATATAATGTTCGTTTTTACGCTTTTATATTTTGCAAGCAGAATATGACAAAATAATAAAATTTTCTTTTCATGATAACGTAACATACCTGTTTACATAGTATCTCTGTATGTATAATATTTATCTTTACTTATCAAATTTTTTTTATGCACATAAAAATCACAGAACATATAATTAATAGATAACAAATTGTCTAAGTATATTTTACGATAAAATATTGTAAAAAGACCGTACGAAACAATTCTTTTTGCATAGCAAAATTAATCGCGCATCCTTAGAAATTTGATGTTGTAACTTCAGCGACTCAAAAAAAAAAATGTTGCGTCAGAAAAAATCGTGAGATCGATATTCAAATTAGTCCGATATTGCGTCAAGATTATTCAGCGCGCGTATTTCTCTCTCGCGTCCGTATAAATTATCTTTCCCGAAGGAAAATGACATTTCACACGGTATCTGTCCGTCGTGATTTTTCACGGCGTGCAAACTCGTTACTGTCGGCTACAGCACGAATTTTATTTGATCTCAACGGATGAATGTTCATGAAGAAACAAAAATGAGTCCACAAGGTCGTACAATTTTGTAAATTTCGTAAATTTAAGTATAATATACGAAATACCTTCCCCAAGGAGATCGTTCGCGAATGTATAAGTAAATAATGCATCTTCACCTCCATGCGTCGAGAGTAAATTTAAATGAAGAATGCTCCGGAGAGATATTTTATTTTTTATTTACGTTAATTTTAGTTACTTTAAGTAATACACTGTATAATAATTAATATGCAACAAATAAAAATTCTCGCGAAAGTTATATCATTAAAATGGACATGTTATTTTAAAAACCTTTCATTTTTATGTTGCGATAATGCAATTATTATTGCAACATTATTTTTTTCCAATATAATATAATTACGATATCAAAGGATGAACCTCTAACTAAAATTGTATATATCAACGTCTATTAATGTCCAATAATGCCCAATTTTTATGCCTACTATATTCTAATAAGGCCCATTAATGCCCTAATAGTACTCTACAATGCTGTAGTAATGTCTCATTGTTTATTATAATATACAATTCTCCTCTTAAATAATGTCTTAAATCTGTACACTGCAATACCTTCGGCAGTTTATCTCTTGACAATTATTTTTAAAATTGTACATATTGTCATATTACATTAATAATTTTTAAACTGAACTAAAAAGCAGATAAATTTTCTAATTTTCATATCACATATATATTCACATATATATTTGAAAAAAATATTTCCTATCTCTTGCTCATAAAGAGACGTGTATATCATGTAATAATTGTGCACATATGACAGTTGAATTATCTGCAATATGTTCAATCGAATCTCGCTCGTATCGCACTTTATCGTTATCGGTTGTCTATGTTTCGTGCATACGTTTTATAAATCTCTGTGGATTGATTAGTTACGATAAATATGGAAATCCCAGAGGATCGTACATTTTATTTTGCCGTCAGTTTCTGACATGTTAGGATATATGTGCATACATATATATTTAAACAATAATGACTAACTATTAAATCTTGATCAAATCTCCGAACAATTTGAATTGAATTTCTTTTGTCCCGCTTTTGGAGCAAAAAATATTGTAATCTACGACATTCTTGAGCTTCAGTGGGCAAGCGGACTGCTCACGTTTTAAACAATGCATAAAAACATGTGATTTCACAGGCCGAAGACGAGAATTAACGAGCGCATAACAGCAAATTTGCATGTAGGTTTCTACGATGCAAATGAAATCGACATGACTGAAGAGACCGACGAGCGTAAGTATTGACCGGATATGATAAAATATTTTTAAATGCGGCCTCCCAACGGGCAATAAACGATACGACGGTATTCGCTTGGTATAAGTTCGGTGGGTTCTTATCGTCTGGGAACGGATTGAAAAGTTTCGTATCGGAAATCCATATTCTCCCCCCCCCCCCCTTCGTGGAAGATGCTTAAAAGCGACGAGAAACAACGATACTGCTGTCGATTCGGCGCGCGCGCGTCAGCTTTTCCACTATGCTGCTCCCATAATCCGATAAAAAAAGCAACCCTAATGATCGATACGACGACGAATATCAACATTGCATCGAACATTGATGCCTCGTTGCAGCCGTTTTGATCTTTATAATGGTGTGCAATTATATATTTTTTAATATAATTTTTTTTTAATTTAATCCTCGATTGAAATGTTTAAATTTAAAGACACTACTATCGATTTTTTAATTGTAAATTAACATAAATAAATTTAAATTTATAATAAAATACAATCCAACTTCTATGATAGTAAAAATTCATTGTTAAAGCTTTCACAAATATGTAAGAATTTTTTAAAATTTCTATATCTTGGAACAATATAAAAATCTGCATAGTTCAAAGTGGACAAAGGATGAAAGTTTCACATTGTCGAAGAGTTGAAAACAAAGAAGAATAAATAAATATGACAAATAATAATTGAAATACTATACTTTTTTTAATATTGAAAAACAGAGCATGCGAGATAAGAAGAAATTTAAGATATATAATTCCGATCGATTTTCGCTAAGAGTCGAATGTAGTAAATTAATTTGACTTAAGTGGAAATCTCCAAAGGACGTACCGTACATGCTCGGATATTAACACGTTCGAGTAGAGCGCGATGAAATTAATGCCTTGTATTTCCATTAAGGTAAACCGCGCAACAATATCTTCAACCGTTTTCTAATTACGCCGAGGAAAACCAAGCTTTAAGATCATTATAATGCATAAGTCACATCTGACGTAAACTCATTGAGAAAAAGAACAAATTATGAAAGTGTTTGATAGTATTATTAATAAATGACGTATACATTCATATAAATTGTATTTAAATTATTAAATGATCATAATTTTATCATTAATATATTACATATGACAATATTGAATCTATCTAGTACATAAAATAAAGTATAAAATATCGTGAGATAATTATAGTTACTGTAATTGAATTCGAATAATTGTTAATAAATAAATATTATCATATTTCTGATATCA